TATTATTATTATTATTATTATTATTATTATTATTATTATTATTATTATTATTATTATTATTATTATTATTATTATTATTATTATTATTATTCACTAATATACGTGGTACTAACTATTATTATACTTTTCTATTACATAGAGCGGGAAATATATAGGAAATGTTGAGTTAGAGTGGCATATAGCACTCGAAGTTTTTATATGCGTGTACGTAAGTTGGAATGTAATACGGGAGCTAATAGAAATTTACAAGATGGTGAGTTTATGTTACCATTATTGACATGTTGAATATATGACAATTTGTTTGCATTATTTTGTTTCAAAATAACCGAACATCAGCTTTTTTGGGTGTTTTTCTGGTATAAATCATGGTTTTTGAAACAATCGTGTTACAAAATGCCAAAAATATGGTAATCTAAATAAAAACAATTTTCAGTGAGACCGTCGGACCTTTCTTGTAATAATGACGTCTCGAAATAAATGTGACTTTTAATGATTCCTATACCCTGACAAAAACTAAAAACACAAAGAGTGTTATGACCGAGATTTTCGTTTTGATTTGGGCTTTCGATGCTAAGATTTGTTGTTCAATTGTTTTGATTTGTTGCATAGAGATGCAAATCATTTTACTTTTGACATAGTTCTACTTTGAGCTGTACGGACTGTAAATACGGCTTATTTGCGCGTAATTTCATGTGAAAATACCGAAATTATTACACAGACATGTGACTATTGTCGTGGATGCTTATCCGCTTGTGTTTTTCCTCATTGATTCATATTTGTTGTTGTTTATTCAGTTTTATTCTTTCGTATTCGTAATTTAGTTATATTATTAGATCATGTTTTGCTTTATCTATTCGTCTTTATTATGTTCAATTACATGCTATATTAGCTGAGATACAACAATTGAAAGTTGTTACATGCCTGAAAGTATACCGTAATGCATGTATCTCTATTGTAAAGAAACACAGATTCGGTTTACATAAGCCATTTAATAATAATCAACAGACAGCACGAACGCAATAGGAATCAGTTGCAAGGTCGATTTTAAGCTGATGTGCCAATATTGAAATCCAATCACTGTGTTTCCCTCATATTTTAATCCATAGGTGTGAATCCTGCTCAACCCTATAAAAAGGGCATTCTATCGTGTATTTATCAGTTGCCTTCTTGTTACATTGTAGTTTCTTTGTTGTAACATTGTCATAATAAACAGTGTAATGTTTAAATGTACATTACGCTTCCTTTATTGTAACTCTACGTTCCAATGCATGCAGTTTGAACCTGATCGAATGTGAGCGAATGTCACCCACAACTATTTTTTATAATTATTATAATAATATAATATATAATAACATATGTTATTTGTTAAAATGTTTGTGAAATAATATTTAATATGCAGTTATGTAAATAAGAGTTAATATGTAATTATGCCAGGGAAAGGAATAATATGCAATCATATTAGTTGGTGTTCTCATTCAATAATGTACGCCGCAATTTGTTGGGTTTTGATTAGTGCCACTAGATTTTAAAAATCGACTACTTATTTTTGTTTTAGAAAATGCATTACATGACGGAGTTATCTAACTACGTAGATTGGGGTATGTATATAAGTGTGATGATATACATACTACCCCCAGGTCAGAGGCCATGCATGACACAATGGAAGGCCGGTGCCGGAGCAGTCTTTTTAACATGGATGAACCTAATACTTTACTTCCGGAGGTGAATATTATATTATGTAAATTCTTTATTTCTGTTTGTGATATAACCCGCCGCCTTTAATTATATATGTTAATATAC